GGGAGAGATACTTGGGGCGAGGGAGAGAGATCATGGGGAGAGAGATACTTGGGGCGGAGGAGATACTTGGGGCGAGGAGAGATACTTGGGGCGGGGAGAGATACTTGGGCAGGAGATACTTGAGGAGGGAGAGATACTTGGGGCGAGGAGAGAGAATACTTTGAGACGGGGAGAGAATACTTGGGGCGAGGAGAGAATGGCAGACGAGGAGAGAGATACTTGAGACGAGGGAGAGAGATACTTGGGGCGAGGAGATACTTGGGGCGGGGAGAGATACAGGGGCGAGGGAGAATACTTGGGGCAGGGAGAGAGATGGCAGGGCGAGGAGAGAGATACTTGGGGCGAGGAGAGATACTTGGGGCAGGAGGAGAGATACTTGGGGCGAGGGAGAGATGTAGAGACAAAAGGAGAGATACTTGGGGCGAGGGGGAGATACTTGGGGCGAGGAAGATACTTGGGGCGAGGAGAGATACTTGGGGCGAGGAGGAGATGGCAAGGGGAGGAGAGACCAGCAGGGAGAGAGAGATCATGGGGCGAGGAGATACTTGGGGAGAGAGATACTTGGGGCGGGAGAGATACTTGGGGCGGGAGAGACACGAGGGGAGAGAGATACTTGGAGGAGAGATACTTGGGGCGAGGAGATACTTGGGGCGAGGGGAGAGATACTTGGAGCAGGGAGGAGATCTGGGCGGGGAGAGAGATACTTGAAGCGAGGGAGAGATACTTGGGGCGAGAGAGAGATACTTGGGGCGAAAGAGAGGATTATTGGGCGAGAGAGATACTTTGGGGCAGGGAGAGAGATACTTGGGGCGAGGGAGAGATCATGGGGCGGGGAGAGATACTTGGGGCGAGGAGAGATACTTGGGGGAGAGAGATACTTGGGGCGAGGAGAGAGAATGAGAACGAGGGAGAGAGATCATTGGGGCGAGGAGAGAGATACTTAGAGACAGGGAGAGATACTTGGGCGAGGGGAGAGATACTTGGGGCGAGGAGAGAGATACTTGGGGCAGGAGAGAGAGATACTTGAGGCGAGGAGAGAGATACTTGGGGGCGGGGAGAAGAGATACTTGGGGCGAGGAGAATACTTGGAGACGAGGAGAGATACTTGGAGAGAGGAGAGAAGATGAGACGAGGAGAGATACTTGAGAGGGGAGATACTTGGGGAGAGAGGAGGAGATACTTGGAGACGAGGAGATACTTGGGGCGAGGAGATACTTGAGACGAGGAGGATACTTGGGGCGAGAGAGATCTTTGGGGCGAGGAGAGATACTTGGGGCGGGGAGAGAGATACTTGAGAGGGAGGAGAGGTCTTGAGACGAGGGAGAGATCATGGGGCGAGAGGAGATACTTGGGGCGAGATGAGAGACGAGGAGGAGATCTTAGGGACGAGGAGAGAGATACTTAGGGCGAGAGAGATCTTGAGGCGAGGAGAGAGAGATACTGGGGCGAGAGATACTTGGGGCAGAGAGAGAGATCATGGGGCGAGGAGATGCTTGGGGCGAGAGATACTTGAGGCGAGGAGAGAGATCAGTAGGGCGAGGGGAGAGATGGCAGGGCGGGGAGAGAGATCTTGGGGCGAGGGAGATCTGGAAGACGAGGGAGATACTTGGGGCGGGGAGAGAGATACTTGGGCGGGAGAGAGATACTTGGGAGACGAGGAGATCATGGGAGCAGGAGAGATACTTGGGGCGGGGAGAGAGATGGGGCGAGGAGAGAATACTTGGGGCGAGGAGATACTTGGGGCGAGGGAGAGATACTTGGGGCAGGGAGAGAGAGATACTTGAGCGAGGAGATACTGGGGCGAGGAGAATCTTGGGGCAAGGGAGAGATACTTGGGGAGCGAGAGATCAGAGGGCAGAGAGATACTTGGGCGAGGAGAGAGATACTTGGGGCGGGGAGAGAGATACTTGAGAGCGAGGAGGAGAGATACTTGGGGCAGGGAGAGAGATACTTGAGGCGAGGGAGGAGAGAGGAGAGAAGGGAGGTGGGGGGGCGGGCGTGGTTGACGTTGGGCAGATCCCAACCCCAAAAAAAAAACAAACCAAACCCCACAAGTATCTTTCAAATGAAATCTCTCTCTCTCTCTCTCTCTCTCTCTCTCTCTCTGCCTTTCTAGAGTTATGGTGTGATAAAGGAGCTAGTGGTGAGTGACCTGGTGGCGAGGGTCTGTTATGACGACGTGGTCAAGTTCTCCGTCGCAGCCATCCATTTGTACAAGACGAGGAGGTAAAGGGATGAACTTTACACTCCTGATGAAAAATACCGATCATCGAAGTCACCTGGATTTTACTTTAATTATTTACGTACTAAGTTTACTGGATTAAATCAACGACTTTTTCTTAAGGTTGTTTGCGAATACACAGACAGACAGACAGACAGACACAGACAGACAGACACACAGACAGACAGACAGACACAGACAGACACACACACACACCGGCTGCCAGTTCCAAGTTCTTTTTTCCGGTGAGGCGGCGGAGGACAACAAACTTTTATGGTTTAGACTATTGTGTGTTTTACATGTGTGGGCAGACTATGGGCAGTTATGAAGTGAAGTGGTGAGTGAGGGCAGAGGTCGTGTGTGAGGTTGGAGGCATCAGTGGTGAGGGTGGAGGTCATAGTGGTGAGGGTATAGGAGTAGTGAGTGGTGAGGTGGAGGTCATAGTGGTGAAGGTATAGTAGTGGTGGTGAGGGGGAGGTCATGTGGTGAGGTATAGGAGTGGTTCTGAGTGGTGAGGGGTATGGGGTGGTGGTGGTGAGGTGTAGGGTCTGTGGTGGTGAGGGTGTGGGGTGGTGGTGGTGAGGTTTGGGGTCATAGTGGTGGGTGTGGGGTGGTGGTGGATGAGGGGATGGGGTCATAGTGGTGTGGTGTGTTGTGGTGTGGTGGGGTGTGGGGTCATGGTGGTGGGGTGTGGTTATGGTGGTGAGGTGTTGGGTGTGGTTGTGGGGTTGTGGGTCATGGTGGTGGGGTGTATGGTTGGTGGGGTGGGGTGGGGGTTTGGGGTCTAGTGGTGGGGGTGTGTGGGGTGGTGGTGGGTGGGGTGTGGGGTCATGGTGGTGGGGGGTGTGGGGTGAGTGGTGGTGGGGGTATGGGGTCATGGTGGTGAGATTATGGGAATTGGTGGTGGTGAGGGGTGTAAGTCCTGTGTAAGGTGAGGGTATAGGGTGAGTGGCTGGTGAGGGGAGGATCATAGTGGTGAGGTGTAGGAGTGGGATGGTGGTGGGGGTAGGGTCCACAGTGGTGGGGTATAGAGGTCATGGTGGCGGGGTATGGGGTGGTGGTGTGGTGGAGGTGTGGGGTCATGGTGGTGAGGGGGTGTGGGGTGGTGGTGGTGGGGGTGTAGGGTCCATGAGTGGTGAGGGGGTGTGGGGTGGTGGTGGGTGGGGGTGTGGGGTCATGGTGGTTGAGGGTTATGGGGTGGTGGTGGTGGGGGTGTGGGAGGGTATAGGGTAGTGGTGGTGAGGGCAGGGTAGTGGTGGTGAGGTATACAGTGGTGGAGGGTATAGGGTAGGTCAGGGGAGGGGTAGTCAGGTGGTGGAGGGAGGCAGGTGGTGAGGCGGAGGGTCAGGCAGAGGGTATAGGTAGTGGTGTGGTGTGGGAGTTCATTGGGTGGGGAGTGCAGGGGTAGTGGTGGTGGGGGGAGGGTCATGTGGTGGGGGGAGGTGGTGGTGGTGAGGGGGGTGAGTGGTGGTGAGTTGGAGGTTCATAGTGGTGAGGTGTATGGGGTGAGTGGTGGTGAGGGAGGTCATAGTGGTGAGGGTATGGGGTAGTGGTGGTGAGGGGAGGTCATAATGGTGAGGGGTATAGGGTGGTGGTGGTGAGGGGGGTCATAGTGGTGGGGTATAGGGTGGTGGTGGTGGGGGGTTGGGTTTGGTGGTGAGGTGTAGGGTGGTGGTGGTGAGGTGTAGGGTCATAGTGGTGAGGTGGTGTGGGGGTGAGTGGTGGTGAGGTCATGAGTGGTGGGGGTATGGGGGTGGTGGTGGTGGGGAGTGGGGTCTGGTGGTGGGGTATGGGGTGAGTGGTGGTGGGATTTATGGGTGTGGTGATGGGGTTGTGGTGAGGTGTAGGGTGGTGGTGGTGAGGTGTAGGGGGTCATAGTGGGTGGGGTATGGGGTGTTGAGTGGTGGTGGGGTATAGGGTCATAGTGGTGAGGTATAGGGTGAGTGGTGGTGAGGGTATAGGAGTCTCACAGTGGTGAGGGGTGTAGGGTGTGGTGGTGAGGTGTAGGGGTCATGGTGGTGGGGTATGGGAGTAGTGGTGGTGAGGTGGGTCATGGTGGGTGGGGTATAGGTTTGTGGTGGTGAGGTGTAGGGGTATGAGTGGTGGGATTTATGGGGTGGTTGTGGTGGGGGGAGGTTGTGGTGGGGGGGGGTTGAGTGGTGTGGTGGGTTGGGGTCTGAGTTGTGGGGTTGGTCATGTGGCGAGGTGTATGTTGTGGTGGTGGGGTATAGGGTCATTGTGGTGGGGTTAGGGTGGGTGGTGGTGGGGGTTTGGGGTTGGTGGTGAGGTGTATGGGGTAGTGGTGGTGAGGTGTGGGGTCATTGTGGTGAGGGTATGGGTAGTGGTGGTGAGGGTGCAGGTTGGGGACACACACCAGGTACTCTGAGGGGGTTGTGTTAAGGCGGGTCTGGGTGTAGCAGCTGCAGTGCATCAGGGTGGCACACAGGCTCAAAATAGGTGTGGGTGAGGCAGCACGTGGCGAGGGGCACGCGTGCCAACCACCGGCCGTCTCCGACACCAGTGCCGCTACCACCACGCCAGGAACAAGTGGCCCCCACTCACGTGTGTGAGGGTCTTCGGGTATAGTGTAGTTGTCCCCGAGTGTATGTAGTGATATATGTACCACAACGCTCAGCTACTGTTGTGTTTACCAGGTTGTGTTCGTGGCAGGTATGGGCGAGGTGGCAGTGGTCTACAACAACGTAGAGGGGTCTGCACCCCCCATGTCGTTGCCACAAGGAGAACCCATGGCCGCCTTCCTGGCAGGCCTCTTTGACTCCTCACTCTCTTAGCCGATATCGCTCTTGTATGTGCCGATAAGCCCTGGCTGGCTGCATTACGTCCAGAGGACCTCCCCGCCCGCTATAACACGCCCACACCCGCCACCACGCCCACACTCACGCCGCAGAGAGAGAGCTACACACCTGTGCTGGAGTTGGACCCCCACACCACCATCATTACTGTGGCCCCGCATCACGACCAGCCTCTCAACCTCACCACTAGTCCACCACGCACGCCATCGCAGTCACCACCCGCGCCCACGCCACCCACCACACCTCCCCCACCTGTGCGAGACGCCCATGTCTGTCCTGAATGTGGTCGCACCTACTCTACCTCCTCTAACCTCGCAAGACACAGGTAAGCATAAAATAATAATAATAATAATAATAATAATAATAATAATAATAATCCAACACCACAAAAGTAAGACAAGACCCTAAATGACCCAGCGTGGTGTTCCGTCTTCCTGGCTAAGTGCATTAATTCGTTATCCCCGCGGCCAGTATTGCCCCGCCCTCCTAGGAACAACTCTACCCTATACACAATTAAGACAGAATTCCCAAAATGTTTGCTGTACCTTGTTATGGCTCTCCTTGCATTCCAATACACCCTTCACAACGCCACGACGAATTTCGGCTGTAGGATGACGACGTACTTTAAACCAAGTGTTCGGGTTTATGTGTAAATAATAACGTAAGTATATGTTGCACCCGCAACCAAAACAACCAGACTGGAAGAAGACCCATATAAACTCACAGACACAAGTGATGGGTCTTAACATACGGCTCCACAACACCACCAGCAGGTAGTTGAGCCAAAGCCTCTTGCCACCTCCTTTCTCTCCCCGCAGCGTCCTGGGTTACAGTCATAGAGACAGTTCTTAGACACACACTCACACACAGTTATAATACTGCTGTAGAGACAACACCAAAGGATAAAATAATACAGTACTTAAAGTAGGACACGAATACACCTCTAAATTACTCTGCACCTATATACGCACCACCATCTGCACCACTATACACCTGGTACCACCATCTGCACCACTATACACTATGCACCACCATTTGCACTACTGTACACTATATACCACCATCTGCACCACTGTACACTATGTACCACCATCTGCACGACTATACACTATGCACCACCATCTGCACCACTATACACTATGCACCACCATCTGCACGACTATACACCACCATCTGCACCACTATGCACTATGCACCACCATCTGCACGACTATACACTATGAACCACCATCTGCACCACTATACACTATGCACCACCATCTGCACCACTATACACTATGCACCACCATCTGCACCACTATACACTATGTACTACTATCTGCACCACTATACACTATGTACCACCATCTGCACCGCTGTACACTATGTACCACCATCTGCACCACTATACACTATGTACCACCATCTGCACCACTATACACTATGTACCACCATCTGCACCGCTGTACACTATGTACCACCATCTGCACCACTGTACACTATGTACCACCATCTGCACCACTATACACTATGCACCACCATCTGCACCTGACTATACACTATGTACCACCATCTGCACCACTATACACCATGTACCAATTATCTGCACTGCTGTACACTATGCGTACCACCATCTACACCACTCATATACACTATGTACCACCACCTGCACCACTATACACTATGCACCACCATCTGCACCACTATACACTATGTACCGCCATCTGCACCACTATACACCGTGTACCACCATCTGCACTGCTGTACACTATGTACCACCATCTACACCACTATACACTATGTACCACCACCTGCACCACTATACACTATGTACCACCACCTGCACCACTATACACTATGTACCACCATCTGCACTGCTGTACACTATGTACCGCCATCTGCACCACTATACACTATGTACTACTATCTGCACCACTATGTACCTGTACCATCTGCACCACAGTACACTTATGTGCCACCATCTGCACCACAGTACATATTGCCACCATCTGCACCACTATACTATATACCTGCATCTGCACCACTATGTACCCACCATCTGCCACTATACACTATGTACCTGCATCACTACAGTACACTATACCCTGCATCTGCACCACTATACACCACCATCTGCACCACTATACCACCATCTCCACCACTGTTACTTTGTATCACCATCTCCACCACTATACAGTACACTATGCCTATAATCTACACCACTATACACTATGTATCACCATCTGCACCACTATACATATATACCACCATCACACTATGCACCACCATCTGCACCACTATACACTATATACCACCATCTGCACCACTATGTACCACCATCTGCACCACTATACACTATGTACCACCATCTGCACCACGGTACACTATGCACCACCATCTGCACCACTATGCACCACCATCTGCACCACCATGTGCACCACTATGCACCACCATCTCCACCACTATACAGTACACTATGTACCACCATCTACACCACTATACCATCTGCACCACTATACACTATGTACCACCATCTACACCACTATACCATATGCATCACCACCTGCACCACTCGACACTATGTGCCACCACCTGCACCACTATACACTATGTACCACCATCTACACCACTATACCATATGCACCACTATACACTATGTACCACCATATGCACTACTGTACACAATATACCACCATCTGCACCACTATTCACTATGTACCACCACCTACACCACTAGACACTATGTATCACCATCTGCACCACTATGCACTATGCACCACCATCTGCACCACTAGACACTATGTACAACCATCTGCACCGCTGTACACAATGTACCACCACCTGCACCACTAGACACAATGTACCACCATCTGCACTGCCATGCCCAATGTACCACCACCTGCACCACTAGCCCACATGCTCCATTTGTACCACCTGGATCATGTGTACCATCTTCCGCACCACTAACCCGCACGTTAAAATTGTGTCATCTGTACCAGACAGTCAACCACATACACCAAACTCAATTTACACCATCTGAAACCAAAACTACACCACTGTGTATTAACTCCACCTGCACCCACCTGTTAAATGGCTCCACCTGTTAACTGGCTCCACCTGCCTCACCTGTTAAATGGCTCCACCTGCCCCACCTGTTAAATGGCCCACCTGCCCCACCTGTTATATGGCTCCACCTACCCCACCTGTTATATGACCCCACCTGTTATATGGTTCCACCTTTTAAATGACTCCACCTGTTATATGATCCCACCTGCCCCACCTGTTATATGGCTCTACCTGCCCCACCTGTTATATGTCTCCAGCTGTCCCTCCTGTTATATGGCCCCAACTGCCTCACCAGTATATGGCTCCGCCTGCCCCACCTGTTACATAGCCCAACTGCCCCACCTGTCAAATAGCTCCAATTGACCCAATTGATGCATATTTTCACTTTTCAACAACACCAACTGTTCCTGTACCACAGGTGGTGGCGAGTGACACTACCATGGGGGAGGGACATTGAGTGACACAATACCATGAGGGAGGAAAGGTTGTGAGTGTCACGTGTTTGGCCCACTGACCTGCTCACTCTGGTGCCTGTAGTGCCGCCTGCGCTCCCCCCACCCACACACACACGAACATAAGAATGGAGGAAACTGCAGCGGGCCTATTGGCCCATACTGTGCAGTCCCGTTTACACCCAACCCCTATCGCTCATATATACGTCCAACCTATATTTGAAACTACCCAGCGTGTTAGAGTTAATGATGATGTTTGGTAACTTGTTCCACTCATCCACTACTCTATTTCCAAACCAGTATTTACCCATCTCGCTCCTAAATCTAAATTTGTCTAGTTTAATACCACTGCTACAAGTTCGTTCCTGGTTAGATAGTTCAAATACCTTCGTTATATCACCTTTGTTTAACCCTGACTTCCATTTATATACCTTGACTATATTGCCCCTCACTCTACAGTACATCTCTCGAGGGAGTGCAAATTCAGATGCTTTAATCTGTTTCTAGGCTCAGTGCTCACCTCCTGTACTTAAAGGTGACTGATCTGTACCTGAGGTATTGCCAGTCCACCTTGCTGTAAACAGGTCCACATCTATCATTATATCAGTGTTACTGAAGGTGGTTGAGTAGTACTGCCTCCGTATACCAGAGATCAATATACTGTATACAGTACAGTGTGCTGCATTACCACTGACCCTAATGGTCCATCCGGTCCATGGGATCCACCTCACATTATGGTGGCTTCCATTCATGGCAATTGTGTAGACAGAGAACATGTACTGTATAAAAAATGCAGTTGCTGTAAATAAAACATGCTTCCAATTTATTTGTCACATTATCCAACTGTTATTTCATTTACGATAATGCAGAAGCTTCATATCTTTTGAGATATGATGGATAAACTACACATACCACAGGTACAGTATTGAGCACAACATGTCCTGGTCAGTTTCTAAAAAGATAATAATGTTAAATCAATTAGCTACAACTGCTATCATTTGTGATGATTTTAGAGTACATTACTTAACCAGTTTTATAATTAATAATATATATATATATATATATATATATATATATATATATATATATATATATATATATATATATATATATATATATATATTGCATAGTGATGGTATATTGTATGCATGTTCAGTACCTGTTTTGGAACTTAATAAAAGGTTTCGGGCATGGAGTGCCTGAGCATAGTAAAGTTGGACGTGAAATACTGCAGAACAATGGATACGGTTAATACATACCGTACCAACCTTGTCACAACCCCATCAACACAAGGAATAATGACATCAGGGATTTTATGGAGAAATTCATTTCTCTTTCATTGCATTTTTCAGTTTGACAGTCATTTAGATGCAACTGTTTTTATTACAATCTGCCATAAAAATTAAATTTTCCAATGAATAATAAAACAGCCACCAGCATTTTATGACCCATACTATTTGAGGTAAACTAGATACAGTCCAGTACAGGTTCATGATTGAGTGAGAGCCAGATTTGAGAATTTTATCTGAATTTCAGGCATTACATGGTGAAGCATAGGTGAAAGCAGTCCTCGCTAGGTCTAGTACTAAAACCCAGAACCACAATGACACAAGACGAGCCCATAATAAAATAAATAAAAGTTATTTGTCATCAAAAACAAGATTATAAATTATTAATGAAATTAATTAAATACTGTAATGAAGTGAGGTAGTGGATAGTAAGCTGTAATTATAAAAGCTATCAGTAATATCTTGAGGATAGTTTTAGCCTAAACTTGGACTTAATCAGTATTTAGTTGATATATATGTCCTCAAACAATTTTATTGTTGCAGCTGTACCTCCTAAAAGAAATATTTTTGTACATAAACAATTCAAACTCTGTAAAAATTATATGAAATACTGTACACACAAACATACATGAAATACTGTACACACAAACATACATGGAATGCTGCACACACAAACATACATGAAATACAGGCATCTCCCGGGTTACTGAAGGGTTCTGTTCCGAAATTTTTTTCTGGAACGCAAAACCATTTATCCCATATACTTCCATTATAAAAGTTGAGATTCGTTCCCAAGGATATTTTTGGATGCCCAAAAATGTGACTCAACCACATATACAGTATGTATGAAATTAGACGGTGGTAAATATTTAGAAGTTGCCAGAACTTACTTATATAGGGAGAAAGTGAAAAAATAAATAAATAAATAAATAAAAATATTTATTCTATAGCACTTCCATCGGAAATCCATACTTTTCGAGTATTTCTGTAACGGAGGCGGTTTCTCTCTACTCATACTCTGCCTTTTCTTTTACTCTTACTTCTCTTGTCTTAGTTCTTTAAGTCAATTGTTCTTTCTACTTACTTCAATGGTTACTACATAACCTTAGTTCTTTCTGGTAGCATGTCGAGGGTCTAAGGCACATGGGTATTGTAATTCTGATATCAAGGTAACTACTGTGACTACTGTGGGGAAAATGAATACTCCTAAAATACTCTAACAACAGGTTTATTAATATGAAATCAAAGGGAAAAAGAGATATTATTAACATATAACTTCAAGGTGCAACTCCTCGCTTACTCAACTGCAAACTCAGTATTTTCTTATTGCACGCAACCTCAATGGTATTACATTACATAGCAGGACCAGTTCCTTGGCCCTACTCACAATACACAGTTACATGACAACTCCTTGCAGGTTACTTTACTTCTCACCTACTGGTGGTACATGGCATTACAGTACAGTTACAAGAATCAACTCCTTGACTTTACTCAGGTAGTCCCAAGGGGACAACTTCACTTCACACACATTACTCGGTACTTCTCATTACATCCAGTTATAAGACAAACTTCAGCTGATACTTCACAAACTGTTGGTAGTGCATAGGAGATGCACTCACACACAACACATTAATACTGAAACCAGCAAATACATGGGACCGCTACCCCACATGGGATAATTATTACCCGCTAATTATCCCTAAACATACAACAACACTGTGGGCCATATCTCCAAGGCATGTCCCAGGGTATAGCACTGGCGCCTCTAACAACTGACGACTGCTGTTGTGGTCGGTTGTAGCCAGACACATGGCGAGTCTGGGGTCTAGCTCACGAGGTGGACCTGCCGTCTCAATCATGTTGAATCACCGACATCAATGCATATATTGATCCCTGCGGGGTACCCACCGGCTCAGCAGCCGATGGGGTGTTCAGATAGGCCCACTCTGGAATCTGGGGACAAACAGGAGATGACGTGACGGAGGATAGGGAAGCATGATGACAACACAAACAAAACAAATCCTTCGTCTCGCAACGTCAGACGACATTTACTTTATATTACTTCTCACACAGGGTGAATGACAATTCCACTGTTACAACATGAACACTGATGAACAATGATAATTCACTACAATGACTGAATCAAACTGAATGACTATAAAACACTGCTACATACCTGGGGACAACTGGGGGGATGACGTGACGGAGGACGTCTCTCTCTGCTTATCCGTGGTATATATACCCCTGAGCTGCCGGTGATCGCTACTCATGCAATGACAGAAATTACATACAACCCAACTGTTACACATTCGAGGATGACCCTCAGTTGATAAAGGTCTGGCGAATTACTTGAGTTGATTCACATAAACTAATCCAAGATTGAGCTTGCCAGCAGAAGTGGAAAAAACGTATTGACAACTGTGTTCGAAGGCGGGACTTACTGGGAGGGATCATGACTGTAAACATCGAATAGGAAAAACACGTCTTCTCTGGGGGATAGCTAACCAGCTACCCTCTCATGTTTTGCGGTCGTGAAGTTTAATAAGAATCATTAGTTAAAACAGACTAGCAGTCAACGTGACCATGACATTTCAACGGACAAAACTGCCAACAACACTACTTGTTCCAAATGGGCAGGGCTTTGAAGTAGAAGGGAAATATGGGGAAAAATACACGGAATAAAAAAACACCAAACAAACCTTTGAAATCCTGGCTTAACATTTCCTAACCTTTAAAAACCCTAAAACTCAGATGAGGAGGTAAAGCTAGGCAAAGCTTTCAAAGGTTTATTTTGTGTTCTTTCCAGGTATCTCACCCCACACCCCCCCTCCACTTCAAGGCCCCGCCCACTCTGAACAACTAACAGTAGGCAATTCCATTAGTAAAAACACCAGAAAATACAAACTTACAATGGAAATGCTATAGAATAAATTACCCATAGCTTTCTTTCTCCAGTAAAGGTGTAGAATAGGGTGACCACTAGAAGGAATTGTCCGAATTGGTTGAAATTTTTTATACACGCTAATATCATGATATTAAACACAAAAATGGAAACGATAATGCATAGAACCTAATAGAACCTGACCTAACATACCCAACCTATGGTAGGTTAGGTCAGGTTCTATTAGGTTCTATGGATTATCATGTTAATTTGTGTGTTAAACAACTTGCCTTAATATTGGGGTTGATATAAATCAGTAATAGCGAGGAGGAATACGTGGATGTGTTCACCATCATTTAGGAAAAGTCTCTTGAAAAGGGATTCAGTGAGGTAAACAACAAAAATGGCGCCGGGAGGAGAATTGTGAAGCGGGATCGAGTACTGTACATAAAAAGGTTGTCAGGATCTATGCATTGTCGTTTCCATTTTTGTGTTTAATATAATGTTATTAGCATTATATAAAAAACAAATGCATAGAACCTAATAAAACCTGACCTAATATACCCAACCTATGGGTATGTTAGGTCAGGTTCTATGCAATGTCGTTTCCATTTTTGTTTAGTATCATGATATTAGTGTGCAGAAATTTTTTCAACCAATTTGGACAATTCCTTCTGGTGGTCACCCTCGTCCACACCTTTACCCTTTCTCCTTTTCCCATATAAGACTCGGTATACAAATAGGCGTTAGCAACTTCTAAATATTAACCTGGACAGTTTTAACCACATACAGTGAGTCAATCATGATGTAACATGATAATAAATAAACAAAACACTTGAATTTGTACTTACCAGAAACAATGTTGAGTACTGCAGGAGGTGGTGAGGTGAGGTTGTGGGATCAAGTTTAATGTTCAATGTAATTCCCTTATGGAATCTTTTATCACCACTGTTTTCTCTTGAACTTGATGGCCCTTTACACTCATCTTGAATAAGGCTACACAACAACACAGACTCATAACTGAGCACAAACTGGGGAAAGATTTCAAACTGAGCAGTGACATTGTTGTTGTGGCTGCTATCAACTGGTGTGGTGAGCTGCCCGGCAGCCATCTTGTTGCTACCACCAGAATTCACACGAAATAAATTGTATAATTTCGGTGAAATTTTTTCTCTATCACGATTTTTTCTTTTGAAAATCTTAATCAATTAACCAAAATTCCAGAAGGGTGAATAAAGTCCTAAACACAGATGCACAACTGAACACAAGCTGGAGAAATAATTCTAACTGAGCAGCAGCATTGTTGCGATGAATGCTGACACACGTCTTTCAAGTATGGACATAAGTTAGTGCAAAGATACTCTACTCAAGATAGGAAAGCTCCAGCTAAAATATATATGAAATGTGCGAACGGGACAGTTGCCAGATACCTCATTAATAGCGCCAGCTATTGGCTGCGTCCAGAAGCTGTTCGAGACGTCATAGACGTTGCTGTGACGTCATGTGATTGTTTTACGTTTTACATTTATTTTAGACATATCACTCTTCTTTTTGTATACTTGTATGTGTACATATAAAGAGAGAATGAAAACACTACGGTATAATTTTCACTGACTCCATTGCCTCAAGATCTTAGATGAGCTCAGAAATTAAGACACAAACTTTTCTCTTGTATAATTATCATACAATTACTGTACTGCAAGTGATAAATCACCTGTCATGCCGTTATATAAATTTGGGGAATAAATGACCTTGTTTTCAATAGACTTCTTGGCTATTAAAAGGCATTCTTATTGTTTATCTTTATTGAAATAAACACGCAAAACCAAAAATTCACTTTGTGTTTTGGTTTCTCATGTATTATAATATTTCATCTAACTTGCTACATGCAAATATTAACATTACCATAAAAATTTACATTAATTATTAATCATGCATTATACTGTATATATATATATATATATATATATATATATATATATATATATATATATATATATATATATATATATATATATATATATATATATATATATATATATATATATATATATATATATATATATATATATATATATATATATATATATATATATATATATATATATATATATATATATATATATATATATATATATATATATATTGTAAACGCCTTAGTTAAGGGCGTTCAGGTGACGGGCAAGTCGAAGGGAATGATTGAAACCCGCCTTTTGACGCATTCAATATTTATTGATGAGGTCAAAACCTGCAGAGAACAAGGCGTTCATTAGTATTACATGGTGATCTATCTGATACATAATTAGTTAGTCTCACACAATTTATATTAATTATAATTGATTATTGAGCATAGTGACATTATACAAAGTTCATAACTCTATTAATCTTAGCTACACTTCATTCCGCGTTGTCTTATTGCTACAGATAAGGCAGGAACGAGTAGGCATAATTAGTCCACAATATTTCAGTACTGAGGGGGTATTTCATCACTTTGGCTGTACTTAGGTACAAGTGCGGGTCAATGCGAACCAGTATGGTGTTCCAAAGGACAATAATACTGTGTTAATTGTTCCAGCACAAAACTCGGCCAGGATTGGGAGTTGGTGTTCACCACTGCTAGCAGAGGGCTGGTCCTCACAGCATCACTTGAGGGGGCAATCTCTTGGAGTACAGGCGACCAAGCCACCCTTTAAACCAGTGGTTCTCAATCTTGTTTGTCCCATGCACCCCTTGCACCATATGTCAGAATGTCATTCCCCCCTCCTTTCCAAGATTGTCTGCCTCAAAAAGTGCATTCCAAATAATATGTATATAATACTGAAAATCCTTTATTTTTTCCATATTAGTACATATACATTTACAATTTTACATGGATTATTTTTATAGTGGAGTTTTACAAATTAAATGCCAATTGAAAATGTTGATGGATTTATAAAACTTGAATAAAAGAAAATAGTTTTTTATATTTATAATGAATTACTTAACAGACCAAACTGAAGCATAATGCAATAAACAAAAAGTTCAATAGAATACCAGGATATTGTAAATTTGTAATTAATTTTATTCAGATGAAGATTACAGTCAATGAGAAACCTGTGATTGTTTTTTCTTCGCCAATTCTGGAATACGCGGAGGAGTGTTTGAAAGGGCACAACGCAGGTCATTTTCTACCTCTAATCTACTACGTTGCTTCGTTTTAATTTGCAACTGAGTTGAAAAGCCTGACTCACAAAGATATGTCGACACAAACGGAAGCAAGACACGGATAGCTCTTTCTGCCACTTTTGGGTAGGAATCGCACATCAAGGGCCAAAATTCTGTGATTGATTTCTCATCGAACATATCTCTTGCTCCCGAATCCGTTTTCCCCCCCTGAAAACCTGAATTCCCCCCCTGGGGGGAATTCCCCCCTGGTTGAGAACCCCTGCTTTAAACCATACATTTAGCAGAACCAGGACCTACGGACACCGCCCACCCCCAATCTTTGTTCGGGTAAGGCAGCAAACGCCAGCACTCACACGCCAGTGGCGGTAACATATATATTATGAAGGAAAAAGCACACTCGATAACTTCTGCAATTCCTCACACTTCTCGTATATTCTGGGAATGTCAATGGCATTTTGCCATCTGCGACACCTGTCAAATTCGTATCAAGTGAGTCGGTGTGACTGATGAAGTTGCTGCCTCTGATTTGAAATGTATTTCAATAAATAATTGCACATTTTCACTGTAACTCACAAGAGGTTAAATACTTAGGTTACCTATCTCCGTCCTTTGGAAACCGATGAAATGAAAATGTGGATGTGTATCCTTTCTCCTCTTGCAAATAACGCAGGGATGCGATCTACCCAGCATGGTGAACTAAGCGCCCACAAGTCTTGGCTACAGTGTTGCCAGTGGGAAAAATCAAAGAGTATCCACAGAAATACTAAAAAAGTAAAAACGTATCCATAATCTTCTAAAAAGTATCCAAAAAGTATCCACTTTTTTCCTTTAATAAAATGACGAATTTTTATAATTATCTATGACAACAAAGTTAAGCTGAAATATAATGGTGTCATCAAAAATTTTATTGATTATAAAATGGCTATTCTTGGCTGTAGTCCAAAAATTTTAAAACATGCAAACGACAACGTGACGTCACAGAAGTACGACTGCAGCGCCATCCTAATTCTGGACAAATACTTTGATTCTGGACTACATCAAAACCTATAATCATTGGACTACATAAAATGACGTCACTGTGCCTTGAGGTCACAGCTGGTATTATTACCGACTATTTTACACTAATTCCTGTCTGAGTGTATAGTCTTTGGTTTCGTGTTTTATTAATTATTGTCTGCATGAATCAAAGCGCCCATTTGTGTGGTCTAATGGTAGACCCTGCTGCCGTATGGCATCACGAGAATTGTGACCAAGTCCCAGGTTGCTCATCTGACTTTCTGCCTCATTTATACACAATTGCAGGGTCTCAATTGTTGCTCTTACTATTGACAACACAACATATATATATTGTTTCTCACTTTTGATTTTCTTTTATTATTACATTATTATTATTGTTATTATTATTATTATTGTTATTATTGTCATTATTATTATTATTGTTATTATTGTTATTATTATTATTATTGTTATTATTATAAGTAGTCGTACTTTATTATTATATTTTTAATTTTGTATTTTTTATTATAAATTTTATTTACTATGAATTATTACTATTACTACTACTACTACTATTACATTTTCGCCCCCAGGCCCCGATGTGGGTCGGTGACCTGTGCCCGGGTGGGCTAATACCCGTAAAAAAAAAAAAATCTCTATTGTTTTATTATAATGGTGTTTCTCTTGCATAAGGGATCACTTCAATTTTTAGGTTTGGTCGGATTGCCTGAAGATTAGCCCACTTCCCACTGCTAATTTCACCTGATGATTAAGCACCCTTAACGCTACCTGACGGGGTTACGGTGGGTTGCCAGGTTAGGTTAGGTTATCTTTAGGGCATCACAAGATCACCCCAGACAGTCTTGGTTCACCAGAGACAACACTGATAAACAAGAGTGATACTTCTGTGCGCACCTAAATCTGAGAGTCTGCCTCAACCTTCCTCCAAACTCGAGTTATGACCTCCACCTTCAATCTACTCCTTCAAAATTCAATTCTCTCTCGACTAACACCCAATCGTGCTCTTTGGTCTCATCACAACTTGTCCGCCTGTGTTTCTTATTTTGTTTCACGTGAAGATTATCCTCCTCTCCCTCCCTTCCCAGTTAGTCTCACCTGATGATTAAGCACCCTGACTACCTGTGGGGTTTGATTAGGTTAGATGGGATGGGTTTGTATGTTATGCTACTTTGTGTTATTTTATGTTACCGTATAAGGTTTGGTAATCTTACGATGAAATTAATTACGAGTGCCAATCTTAATGTAATTTAAAATGGGTGTACCCGATTTGAGAAACACTATAGCTTATACAATACGTTCAAAGGACACACACACAAGACAAGGCAAAGCGAAAGCAACATCTCCGTGGTGAGAACTAAGGTTATATATAACATGTGCAGGGGTGGTGGCTGTATGTGGGGGACACACCTTGACCTACTCCACCCCTTCTTCCCTCTCATCAGGCAAATGCCCAAACAGTACATGGCAGCCAGTACACTAGCTAATATAGTAAAAATTATTATTGGCCTACTTACGGGAATATACTCCCTTCGGTTCTTCAGTAAGAGCGATGGTGGTAAGCTACAGCTTTACACCAGTTTTGTACTATTTAATAAGAACAAAATTATCGCAGACAGTTAACCAATGAACTTCATTGTAGCATTTAGAATAGGTTACTATTTAAGTGATGGTATAAAGAACATCACGGCATTTACAAGTTGGTAACGGACTTGGCTGTGACACAACTTTTCCACATCTTATATTGTGCTCGCTAGTTTATTGACGACCAACGTTAAAAAAAAAAGTCCAGTACAGAACAACTTCAAAACTACAATGTATTCCTGGAAATTTAAGACTATAGGTTTTAAGATCAGGCTTTGTTTATAAACTATACAGATACTGTATACAGGTAAGCAGGTATGCAGTTCAGCATGAATATAATGTCCTTTGTTTAGGTTATAAAATTTCCAGTGGTTGGAATTTACCGATTCTTAGCCGTTTGGTTTCTCACGAAACGACACAAAATTGCAAAGAAAAGAGTAAAGTTAGTTAGGTAAAGTTAAGTAAGGTAAGTAAAGATAGGTTAGATTAGGTTGTGTGTTTTCACCAAACAATTTGGGTTGGGTTAGTCAGGTTTCCATGAATTTGCCCAAGAAATGAATGTGAAATCCATTCAAAAACACATCGAAATATACAGGGAAAAACAATTTCGTCCAAAATGTCGTGGGTAGTCATTAAACGAATGATAACCCAAAACTCCAAAGTTCCAGCACTATATTTTCGACAATACAACAGTATCCTGTTCACTTTATATTATATCCTAATGATACTCTGATGTTAACTAGCAATTCTGAAGAGTGGAACGTTATCAATACTAAATGCATCAAATAAAAAAGAGCTCATAAAACCAATGAACAGTCAAGAGTCAACACTGACAGCAGTAAGTGTACGACTCACCTCTCTGGATCTTTCGGAATCCAAAGAGAAACATGCTTCTGTTCCTTACAGAGTTGGTAGAGCACATAATAGTTGCACAGTACCGGGGCCTCATTGCAGCTGCTAAAAAATGAGATAAACGCTATTTCGCCGTATTCTTTATCTTAATTTCTTTATTCCTTGCCTGATAATTATTTTGTTCACATTCCGGCCGCTTGGTAGCGCTACATTGGGAGTGAACGCGTTTGTCCATTGGAGTGAGTTATCCTCCTATAGTCTCAGAATCCTTGATTAAGCCAAGCATAGATAGAGATCATGAGAGGAGTAAACAAACACGAAGACATATTCTTACACACTAACTCGTATCCTCGACTTCAATATACTGCACGAACTATACAGAGTGAGTGAATATTAGTTCCCATGATGATGATTCACAACACTTTTATTATAAGGTCAACATTGCTGGTGAGGGGAGTCGTTAGGGTGGTCAATGTTATCTCCGTGTGTCTTTAGTGAGTTAGTTCAGCTAGCAAATAGAAAACGTCGTGTTTGTTGGTGTTTAGTGACACACACACACACACACACACACACACACACACACACACACACACACACAAAAGCATCCAGCCCATACGAGCACGTACTGATCGCTATAAGAAGCAGCCCAGTCCCAACCATAGTAAAGATTATCAACAACTCGTAATCAACCAATGTGTTCACTCCCAGTAAATCTTACTTTTGCACTGCCACTATGTTGAAATGCCCTGTAGTATGACCTTCTCCCCACCTAGTTATTATATATCATATTTGTATAACTTAAGTTACTTGTATATTAATTATCAATCAAGTGACCCATTCCCCAATAATGTAACTGTATATTTTTAGCCTTTTAGCTGCCATGCTCTTTCAATAAACCGTTGATTATTATTATTATTATTATTATTATTATTATTACTTACCTGCTGCTGATGCCAGGACCACTGGCCCAGTCGTTGGCCTATACCCCAACCCCTCCTCCCCACCGGGATGTCAGCAAAATCCAGCAAAAAGTGACTATTTCGTTTCTGAAAGGAGTAGAATCAGTGTTAAACCGTGATGAACAATGTTTAGGCCGTGAAATCAACGCTGGACAGTAGCACACACCACTTACCAGAGAGTGAGGTCACTGACAGTCTCATCATCACTGATTCTCTATTCGCACTACTTGCCCTTGACACCCTCAACTTAAGTTGGCGCACGCTTGTCTCTGAAGCCAGACACAAATATGCGTGCCTTGTTGACCGGGGTATCAAGATCAAACTGTTGCGGATTTCCTCTCACATAGGCCTCAGAGAATATGACAGAGTTGATGCCCTCGCCAAACTCGTGTCTAACAAAGTCACTGTTGAATACAATCTGGGTCTGTCAAAAAGAACCCTTAAAACTGAAATTAGGAAAGAACTTATAAATGAATTTGACGCAAGCAGACAAGTGCAAACAGGCATATGATGAGATGTATCACGTGAAACATGTATATGGAGCAAGTAACAAGATCATTAGATTACAAGATGTAACCGCTAGACATAATTAGGATATAAGTACCTCTGGCAGTATATCCCTCAGGCAGATGTGAACAAAACTAAATGTAAAGTGTGTGGTCAAACATATGGCCACACACTCGAACACTACGTCCACGACTGTGTAAAGATAGAACCTGTGTGTGAAATGGCACATTTTATCTCTCATGGCAAGATAGCGGACATATTAAGATTGCCTCACACTCCTGTACTCACGCAGTTGCGAATAGTTTCCCTCTATGTACAGAGCTAAACAGAGATTTTATTTGAAATACTCTGTAACATCCAATGCCATAATATCCTGACCACGGGGGTTAGTTATATAGACCCTTTGTGAACTGCACTCTGTAATCTTTTTGTGCTACCGCTCACGGGATGAATATGGGGTGCACAATAAACTAGCCACTGTAAGTGGCAAAATTAAATTCCAAGCCCACGTGAGGTCCTTTGTGTCAACACTTGAGGCTGAGTCACTGCACCACGTGGACACCACACCACATCACCCGGTGTCTCCATAACCACGCAAGGTCCTTCATATCACCTATGGACGAGTTACTGCACCACACCACACCACACCACACCACCCGGTGTCTCCATGGCCACTTGAGGTCCTTCACATCAACACCTATGGACGAGTTACTGCACCACATGACCTATGTGACCTCAACTCCGCATGCTTCCCAGATGGGCACTGTAAACGCTTCTGCGCTTCACCTTGCACAGAATGTAAGGGGGTGCCCAATAAACTAGCCCCTTCCGGGGCAATCTAAAAAAAATGTAAACTATAATTTGTATGTTTAACTTTGTTCCTTCTCCTTTTAGTAATGAATGCTTTTTTTTATACGACCCACCCAACCCATGACGTTTTGTATGTACAGTAATAAATTATTTTGTCCAACGTACATTTTTAGCTTTTTGGCTGCTGAACTTTTTCAATAAATCATTAATTATTACACACACACACACACACACACACACACACACACACACACACACACACAAAGATTTATCTTGAATGTCACTTACTGAAGAAGTGACAGACCAACAACGAGAACAGAATGATGGTATTAGTCATTGTAGAACTAAAGCTACTACAGAACATTATTTCGTTTTAATGACAAAAACCATCAAATATTTGTCAAATTATCACAATGCTCAATAGCCGAGACAACTAATGCAGTGCAGACAACCCCAGCTATAGTCACTCTTACTGTTATAAACCTATGCCAAGATCTTCACTGCTCTCGCCAGGTCAGGTCTGTCAGTATGGGAAACATTCTTTAAGAAATTTCCAGGCGCCGTCCTCAATAATGCTCTTAAAAATCACTCCACATCCAAGACACTTTGTCAAGAGGATCCGTGACCACCACCACTCAAACACCCACCACCTGGGACCTTCAGGCTTTTCTTACAATGCCGCTACAACATCTCAAAAATTCCAGCAGGAGAGAACCCAGGGGAGGGGGCTTAAGAAGGCACCTCGCCCCTGCCCCCCCCCCCTCTCTATGGTCTGAAGATGCCAGTAAAATGGGAGTAGAGTAGCTGTATTTTGCTTCTTCATCATTCTCCAACATAGATATAGGTGCCCTACCACACCCCCTTGGACTTCTTCCTTTTCCTAACAAGACCCTCTGCGGTGCTCCCGTTTACATTTGGCAGTGACCATGTTTGACCTGTCGCCGATGGTCTCAGCGGTCACGGAGAAACCAACGCTGAAATTCTGCATGCCCCATAATACGGAGGTCATAAATCACTGCTCGATCGTGACCTGGTGTTAGTCCCTGTTACAGCAGTCCTCACTTATGGCTTTATTAAGCAGTCCGTATGACTGATTACATATTATCTGTAATTTGTCTCATAAATCCTTACAAAATCGACCTACTAACCTACTCACCAACCTCTCACTGACCTCACCTACTCACCACCCTCACCTACTCACCAACCCTCAACAGCATCTCAGTCTAGGGGATTTTTCCTCCAAACAATGTGAAAATTCTCAAGAGTTTTATACAGTCCAGGGGCTGATCCAGGAGGGGGTTCCTGGGGGTCCGGACCCTTTCTTTCATCGGAAAATTCCAATACGTTTTCTTTAATGCAGCATTATTTGTATTTCAAAAATTAATTACTATTGACCTCAGAATATCTTCTAATATCAAGCGCACATGGCTTCAAAATGGCCTCAAATATCCATGATATTGATGGTCAGATTAAAAATAAATAAAAAATCTGGGGCTGACAACGCCCACCAGCTGGGTGGGCTCACTGTGCTCGCCATGTTTTCCCACCCAAGGATATATTACTCGGACCGAAAATTTCTTGAACCCCCCTTTTGATATTCCTGGATCCGCCCCTGTACACACAACCCAAGATACAACAGAGGAGACACTACAACTAACAGAAGTAAAGCCAGAACTCTCCTCTCCCCTCACACCACCTCAACCCCGAAGAAGAAAAACTCCCCCCCTCCCCACCTCTTTGGGGCACACAATCCTTGACTCCCCTCTTCACCCACCTTAAAATATTTTGAATCTGTCCTTAAATTCACCAACAAATCTATTACTACGGTATGTGGTTAAGCGGATTAACAACATCACAATCATTCAATATCGCACTGTCAATTTTGTTAAAGTCATTAATGGCAGGTGTTGGTGTTGCAGACAGACACATCGATCACCGGACGACAAGCGAGCAGCCCGCAAGTGTCCTTACTGTGACAAGGTGTACGTGAGCACGCCCGCCTTCAGTCAGCACATGCGTACACACAACCAGGGCTGTAAGTGTCCAACCTGCGGCAAGTGTTTCTCCCGGCCCTGGCTCCTGCAGGGTCACATCAGGACTCATACAGGTAAGTCACCTCCTACAGTACAAGACCACTGTGGCTACACCCCACTAATACTGTATGCCAACTACCCATCCTACCACACGCCTCCTGCTGCTACCATCCTACCACACACCTCCTATTGATACCATCCTACCACACGCCTCCTGCTGCTACCATCCTACCACACGCCTCCTGCTGCTACCATCCTGCCACACGCCTCCTGCTGCTACCATCCTACCACACTCCTCCTGCTGCTACCATCCTGCCACACGCCTCCTGCTGCTACCATCCTGCCACACGCCTCCTGCTGCTACCATC